TAATATATTTAATATATGTATATATATGTGTGTATATACATATATGTATGTGTGTGTGTGTATATACATATATACGTAAGTCTATGCCACACACGGTGGCAGTGAGAGTGTGGTAAGGTGTAAAATTTAAGATATAAGCAGGAGTCAGGTCACAAGGAATATTAACTTGATCCTAAAGATGCTGGGAAGCTTTTTAAAGACTTTAAGTTAGAGACCTATATGGTCATTTTTTTGTCTGCTTATTTGTTTTTCAATTGAACCTCAGACGCCAACAGTTAACTATTCTCCTCAGTTACTGGCATATTATGATTATTGGTCCATGGAAGGTTCTCTCCTATTCCTTCTAATCTCCAAGCTTCATCTCATTCTTTGCCCCTCCAATGTATTTAATATACATTATTTCGTTTGTATATGTTCTTACAAAATGTCTATTATTGTGTTGTTGTACATGCATTTCTAATTTATGTAAATAGTACTGTATTACATATCCCTTTTTTTAACTTTTTTCCCTAAGCACATTGTTTTTAAGATTCATTCACGTTGCTATGTGGATATATAATCCACTGTTTCCAATTACTGTGTAGTTAAGATGACCATATAATTTATCATCTAAATCATGAGAGTAAAAGGGGGTGCTTTTAATAATTACCATAGAATAACAGGTTAAATAGGGCTGTGCTAGGCAAACCAAGATGCATGGTCACTCTCTTCTCCTAAATTCCATGCTGTTCATCCATGACATTTTACTGATCTGCTTTTCCAGAGACAGGCATCCAAGTTGCTATTAATAATACTTTTTCAAACAGCCTCCTACAGGTCCCATTATGGATCTGTATGAGAATTCATTAGCCAAAAAGATGTCTGTAATGATTTGTAAATTTCTGACATAAGTAATTGTGGGAACACTGAAAAGATGAGCAAAGAGACAGACGAGGAAACTGCAAACCAATGTTTGGAGACTAGAGTGGCAGAGCACTTAAGTTAGTATGGAAGGTTTTAGTGGGAAGGTAATGAAAGGTGTTGGCTGAAAAGGTTGCTTTGAGGCAAAACTGTGGGAGGGCCATGTATGTTGTGAACTTTATCTTAATAGTAACTGAGAGTCACTGAAAGTTTTTGAATGAGGGTATGAGATGATGGAAATGGTATTCTAGGAAGATGTATCTGATGATGCTGAATCAAATGTACAGCAGAGACTGGAAATGAGGGGACCTATTAAGGGAATATTTGAAAGCCAGGATAGTAACATAGTTAGCTTTAGTAGAATGTGGGTTCTGAAGCCAGACTGTCTGGGTTCAAATCTAGTTCCACCATTTACTAGCCTTATGACCTTATTTAAGGCCCATGTGTCTCAGTTTCCTAAATTAGACATTACTATAGTACCTCTGTCATAGGGTTGAATGTCAAGAGCTTCTAACAGTACCTGGCACATAATAACCACTCTCAATATTATCTGTTATTATTATTGCTGCAATAGTCTGGGAAGAAATTGAGATCAGTTTATGCTAATCTGGTGATAGAATACCTTTGACACCCAGAACTCATGGCCTGAAGAAAGTATCCTAATATCACTTAGTGTATCATTCACAAACTTCCATCTTCCTACCCTTTAGAATAAGACAAAAAGGGCATTCTTAAAAAAACACCTGTTGGCCCACATGATGTGTAGCTTCCTAACTCTCGAGCCAGGCATCTTAATAATGTAACGAAGCTTCAAATTGATGACAAATTATAGTTGCCACACATATAATGGTTAAACGTCAAGTTTTACTTAATATTTGTTCATTTTCTCTGGGGACTCAATGTTTTTCTTTTTAATTGGCATAGGTTTAGGATATAATAAAGCCGTTAATGTGTCTTTTCAGCAACACAAATTTTTTAAGAAAGAAATTTCCTCACCTAAGTGGTAAATAATTCTAAGATTAGGCTATGGGAGCTGCTGGAATTGAAGAACTGACTTCTGAACTATTCTTTATCACAAAGATATTTTAGAATGTTAGGACACAACCCTCTCTGAAAATGTACTGGATATTGCAACTCTATTCTAAATAGTTCAGAAATGTAATGTTTAGTATAAACTAATATTAGAGCAATGTGATCATTCCCATTAAAACTGTCCAAAATAGGGACTGGCCCCATGTCCTAGTAGTTAAGTTCGGTTTGCTCCACTTTGGTGGCCTAGGTTTGGTTCCCAGGCACGGACCTCCACCACTCATCGATGGCCATGCTGTGGTGGCAACTCACATACAAAAAAGAGGAAGATTGGCACAGATGTTAGCTCAGGGCCAACCTTCCTCAGCCACAAAAATATATCCGAAATATTTTTCTAACTTCTCTGTAAAAATATATGTATTTTGGTCCTTAAGTATGACTCTTAAGTTCTCAAATAATTTGCAATAAAAATGAAAAGAAAAATTGGGATTTATGTCCTTCATAAAACAACATTTTGATAAAATGAAAATTTAATACATTTAAAGCAATGATACAATCACAGTCTAAGCTTAGATGCAACATTCTTTAAGCAGTATTTCCAAATAACAATAAAACAGGTGATCTCTCATGCCTCTGATCTCTTACAGCACTGGGTTCACATCACACACTGTCCTGTATTCTAGTAATCTGTAGGCATATCTTCTTTTCTACATGATTATTAGCTCCTAGAGGGAAGAGACTGTGGCAAGTTCACCTTTGGATCTACTACAGTATGTAGCATTCCGCTACAGTTAATAAGCAATTAATATTTGCAGAATAACAAAATCTATTAAAATTTACATTAAAAAATTAATTCTGTGCTTACCATCAGGAAAGTTTTTTTTTCCCTGAGGAAGATTTTCCCTAAGCTAACATCTGTTGCCAATCTTCCTCCTTTTGCTTGAGGAAGACTCGCCCTGAGCTAACATCTGTGCCAATCTTCCTCTGTTTTGTATGTGCGCCAACGAGTGGTGTAGGTCTGCACCCAGAAACCAAACGTGGGCCGCAGAAGTGGAGTGCGTGGAACTTAACCACTAGGCAACCAGGCCGGCCCCAGGAAAGATTTTTATCCACACATTTTTTATCCATTAAATTGTATTTCCTAAAATCTTCTACAGGTTTTTAAATGCTTAAGATAACTTTTAGCACTTTGAAAACATTTAGTTCAAAATATCACTTTTCTAAAAATTTGTATTATATTTCTTAATGTAATGGCACTAAACTTTCTGAAAGAAATTGTATGTCACCATTAATTTTAGCAACATATTAAAAGTTCAGCTTCCAACTACCTACATTTGAAGGTATTGTAATACCTATCATATGAAATGAATATGAACCTATGAGGTGTAACATAATATGAAAACTTAAACCTTGAATTACTCTAAGATTGTAGGGCAGTCCTTTCATACTTCTAGCCCTAGTAATACTTCTGAAGACAAGTTTGACTAGTTCTTCCCTTATTACTACCCTCTTCCTCAAATACTTTAATCCCTGCCCTTGGTGTCTTTCATCCACCCAGCATAACCTGCTCCCTGGAAAATGTCTGAAACTCATTCACATTGAAGAGGCAAAGGACTGATAACAGCCCAATGTGAAAGCCTGGTGTGGGAGCCCTGTCCCTGGTGTCTGTGCTGGATTTGCTAATGTAATCTCCCCAAGTCCCATTTCCACACGTATAAAATGAAAGTGGTTGCAACTAATGATTCCTAAAATCCATTCCAGCTCAGGTTATCTACCTTAGGGATGTCTGCAGTCTTATGCATCATTCATTCATTCCGTTTATGTAGCACCTGATACAGACAGGTAATCAAATACTGTAAGTTCAATACTTATTCTTTAAACAAATATTGATTGAACACTTATTCTGTGCCACTTACTGTACTGGGTGCGTGCAATACTAGTTGTAGAGATCTACTAGGTCATACACAGAACTGAGGAACAGACAAGAAAGGAGTTAAAGAAGAGATCAAAGAGGTGATGCTTAGGCTGTCTCTTCAATACAGTAATTTCCCAAGTCGGAGCACAGTACTTTTTACTCCGCTTTTTACTGGAGTACTTTTTACTGGAACATTGCCCTTTTTAACGGAGGGCAATGGCGTGTACAAAGGCAGCAATGCAAAACGCACGTTGAGTGTTTTGAGCAGCTGAAGGCTGGGTAACAGGACGAGTGTTCACAGTACTTCTCCCAACTATAACTTGGCATGTTTTGGGTGATTACTTGATTAATGCGCGTCCCCCCTAAACCACAAGTTACACGGGTTGCGGGTACAGCACCTGCTTCTGCCCACCCTTGTTCTCCCAGAGCCTAACACCCTGCCTCGTGCTTATTAAACGTAAAAGAATTAATAAAGGGTCCGCCCCTGAAATTAAAAAAATGGGTCATTTCCAAAATACCTTGAAGAACGAACCTTTTCCACCAAAACTAAGAGAAATCGCGGTGCCTTCTGCAGCCACCTTGAGTTCCTGGGAAAGAGTCAAACCCTAGCGCGGGGCTCTGCCCTCCCACCGCCACTGCTCAGGGACACAAACACCCCTAGGGTCACCAAGGCCCGAAGGCAGGGAGCTGGAGCTGACATCGCCCCGAAGCCTGGCCTGCCCTCCCGCCCGGACGCCGCCGCCAGGATGCCCGAGCCCAGCGGCGCCGCCGCCGTCTCGGGCTATGGTGCACAGAAATGTACTATCGGGACGCTGCAGAGAGAAAAGCAACCTGTTTTGACCTCCCGACTGACAGGTGAAGAAGAGAAAAGAATTCCAGTAACCAGGAAAATCCTATACACCTGCACTCGGATTCCGGTCGGAAGAGCCCAGGACATGCGCAGTACAGCTCACTGAACTCCCCCGGTGCCTCTCTTAGACGTAGACGTAGAGCGCCCTCTACTGGCCCCTGCGACCTCGGCTTGAGCTTCCCTCATGATCACGCCCCCAGCCACGCCCAGACTCGCGAGAGTAAGAACAGAAATCTCATTATAGGCCTCTACGGAACGGAACTTCCTATACCTGTTGTTCCTACACGGAGAGATTTTCATTCACCGGAATCGACTGGCGTTAAAGGGCGAACCGAAAAGGGAGGTGCTTTCAACGTGACTCGGCCTGCGGAACCGAGCGGAAGTCCCGGTTCACACGCCACACGCAGAGCATCTTGGGGGCCGGAAGGAGGTGGAAACTCCTGCCGCGGACCAGAGCGCCCGCTAACTCGCGTGGTTGTGAAAGAGTCTGTTGCTGGAGCGCGTGGCTCGTGCGCAGAGGTCAGAGGTGGCCGAAAGCCCGACGTCGGTGTAGAACCTGAGACCGCGAGTGATGGTGGGGAGGTCCCGGCGGCGCGGAGCGGCCAAGTGGGCAGCTGTGCGAGCCAAGGCAGGTCGTGGCCCAGCGGACGAAAATGAAGACGACTTAGACTTGCCACCATCACCGGGGGACTCCAGCTACTACCAAGATAAGGTAGATGATTTCCATGAGGCCCGATCTAGGGCCGTCTTGGCTAAGGGCTGGAGCGAAGTAGAGAGTGGGGACGAGGAGGAGGATGGCGAGGAGGAGGAGGAGGTGCTAGCCCTTGATGTTGCCGATGAGGACGACGAAGATGGAGAGAGTGAGGGGGATGAGGAGGATGACGATGATGATGGTGGGAGCTCCGTGCAGAGTGAGGCTGAGGCCTCTGTGGATCCCAGCCTGTCTTGGGGTCAGAGGAAAAAACTTTACTATGACACGGACTATGGTTCCAAGTCCCGAGGCCGGCAGAGTCAGCAAGAAGTAGAGGAGGAGGAAAGAGAGGAGGAAGAGGAGGCACAGCTGATTCAGCGGCGCCTAGCCCAGGCCCTGCAAGAGGACGATTTTGGCGTCACCTGGGTGGAGGCCTTTGCAAAACCGGTGTCTCAGGTAGATGAGGCTGAGACACGGGTTGTGAAGGATTTGGCGAAAGTTTCAGTGAAAGAGAAGCTAAAGATGCTGCGGAAGGAATCACCAGAGCTCCTGGAGTTGATAGAAGACCTGAAAGTTAAGTTGACAGAGGTGAAGGATGAGCTGGAGCCATTGCTACAGTTGGTGGAGCAAGGGATCATTCCACCTGGAAAAGGAAGCCAATACCTCAGGACCAAGTACAACCTCTATTTGAACTACTGCTCCAACATCAGTTTTTATTTGATCCTGAAAGCTAGGAGAGTCCCTGCACATGGACATCCTGTCATTGAAAGGCTTGTTACCTACCGGAATTTGATCAACAAGCTGTCAGTTGTGGATCAGAAGCTGTCTTCTGAGATTCGTCATCTGCTCACACTTAAGGATGAGGCTGGAAAGAAAGAACTGGATCTGAAAGCAAAATCCATCAAGGCCAAACCAAAATCTGTTTCAGAGACGACTGCTGCTGCTGCCTCTGCTGTTACAGATCTTTCTGATGATTCTGATTTTGAGGAGGAAGCTGTGCTGAAATACTATAAAGAAACAGAAGACAGGCAAAACTTGAAGAGAAAGAAAGAAGAAAGTAGTACTGAAGAACAGGCTCTTGAAGATCCAAATGCAAAGAGAGCCATTACCTATCAGATTGCTAAAAATAGGGGACTTACACCCAGGAGAAAGAAGATTGATCGCAATCCCAGAGTGAAACACCGGGAGAAGTTCAGAAGAGCCAAAATTCGCAGAAGAGGCCAGGTTCGTGAAGTTCGTAGAGAAGAGCAGCGCTACAGTGGTGAACTGTCTGGCATTCGTGCAGGAGTTAAAAAGAGCATTAAGCTTAAATAAAGTTTTTGCTTAGCTTAAGTTTTTTGGCAATAATTTTAGATAAATAAATTTTTTACTTTTAACTGGTGGAGTGATTGTATTAATATATATAATACCTAACCATAAATTTTAAAAAGTTTTGTCAAAAGGGAAACTTGTTTGGGTTATTGCTGTATATGTCCTTTATGTTAAGGTCATACTAAGCAGTGTGTGAGGAATGTGAAGGTGGTCAGCAAAAGAGATGTTGAAAAAAGTTCTCCCCTTATTCTGTCAAGTAGTAGCTTAGGAAAATTTCACAGCTAGTTGTGAAGCCACAGTCAAATGTAGAACTCTTTTATAATTTTTCAGGTAAAGTGAAGAGAATGCACCTTTGGCAGTCATGTTATTTTTAAGATAGCCTTAAAATAGTTCTGACATATTTCATTTACCTAAGTATAATTCTTGAGCAGGATGCTTGTTAATAAATAGATTTAATGTTAACTCAAGGATTTTGTACGCTCTTTGTGGTAAAAGCTTAGGAATGCAGAGGAACTTTGCTTAAAAGTAGAAGGAGATATGTCTTAATTACATTAATCATGAATATTTTCTAACAGTCCTTAATGTGGTAAATAAGATAAAAATTCCACTTCCCCTTCTGTACTAGTGACTTGTAGTGGTTGCTGTTTGTACCCTCCACTTTGCTGAAAATTTGGTATGATTACTAGTAGGTAAGTGACAACTTCAAGTAGTAACAAAGTTTAGTTATTCTGGTCTTTACTGTAGGAGAGAGGTGTTGAGATAGTAAACTTAAAAATACTTAGGAAGATGCCAGGGGAGAAGATGAGAGGACTAGTGAAGGAAAGCACAAAAGATGTCTTAAAAGATGTCGTAACTGTGTCACTGTTGGTTAAACATTGTGCTAGCTGCTAGAGATGCAGAGATGATCAATGGTTAATATTTATTAAACACTTGCCGTCTACCAGGTGTGCATCACCTCATTTAATCTTTACAGTAACTTTGTGAGGCGGTACTCTTGTCTCTGTATCACTAATGAGGATGCTGAAATTCCGGGAGATTAAATTTCTAAAGGACACATTCTTGGGATTTGGACCCAAGCCAGCTGAATTTGAGCTTTGTTCTCTTAACCTCTGGCTTACGGCTGCTTCTTGAGAGTAGCACACATATCAAATTATTTTATCTTTTGTTTTCTTATAAATAAAAAAGGTAGGGGGCCAGCCCAGTGGCGCAGCAGTTAAGTGCACACATTACGCTTCTCGGTGGCGAGAGGTTCACTGGTTCAGGTGCCGGGTGCGGACATGGCACTGCTTGGCACACCATGCTGTGTGGTAGGCGTCCCACGTATAAAGTAGAGGAAGATGGGTACGGATGTTAGCTCAGGGCCAGGCTTCCTCAGCAAAAAGAGGCGGACTGGCAGTAGTTAGCTCAGGGCTAATCATCCTCAAAAAAAAAAAAAAAAAAAAGGTGGGTTAGAAATAAAATTAACAGTGAGTGCTAAAGTACTTTTGTAAGCACTTTATTTGTACTGATGTCCTTATTCCTCACAACTCTTGTGTGACAAGTTCTAAAAGTGATGACTCTTGTGTGATAAAATAAGTATCCATATTTTAAAGATTAGGAAACTCTGGCAAACAGAAGTTAAGTAGCTTTCTCAAGGTCATATAGCTATTAAGTGGCAGAGCCAGGATTTCAGCCTAGCCTTTCTGACTTCAGAGCCCTCTCCTATACGTCTTTTTCTGATATAGTAGGAAAAGTACAGATTTTGGAGTTAATTTACTAGGGTGATTTTCAGTTAACTTCTTGATCTCTAACTCATTTTCTTCCTCTGTATGGTACAATTATTATACTTTCCTGGGAGAGGCAATATAACAATGGTTAAGAGCTGTGAGATAATAGAAAAAATATGTTGATTTCTGCCCCTAGTTCCTTGTAAATTCCTAAGTGATAAGAGCACTAGGTGCATCTTTCTAATATTTGGTCTTTGACCCAGGTTTCTGACACACAGGTCCTGAAACCTTGTAAATTCTTTTAGAACACTAGGAGCATCTTTGGTTCTGAGGCGTTTCTGGGTGAGCTCCTAAATGGTTCCTGGTTGGGGGCTGGTAACCAAAAAGAGCAAGCCATGATTAGAAGCTTGAAATTTTCAGCCCTATCCCTCATTCTCCAGAGAGGGGAGAGGCGCTGGAAATGGAATTAATGATTGATCATGCTTACGTGAGGAAGCCTCCAAAAAACCCCTAAAGTATGGGGCTCAGGGAGCTTCCAGGTTGGTGAAGACATCCACACCAGGTGAGTAATGTGTCCCAACTCCATGGGGACAGAAGCTCCTGCGCTCAGGACCTTCCCAGACCTTACCCTGTGTCTCTTCGTTTGACTGTTCATCTGTATCCTTTATCATATCCTTTAATAAACTGGTAAATGTAAATGTTCCCAGGAGTTCTGTGAGCCACTCTAGTAAATTAATTGAACCCACCTGAGAAGGGGGTCGTGGGAAGCTCAGATTTATAGCCAAGGTGTCACCAAGTACAGGTGACAACTTGGACTATCTCCAGGTAGAGTCAGAATTAAGTTAAATTGTAGGACACTGAGCTGGTGTCACAGAATTGCTTGGTGGAGGAAAACCCCCACACATCTGGTGTCAGAAGTGTTCTAAGTCTGGTAGTAGTGTGAAAGTAAAGGAGAAACACAGGAATAAAACTGAGTTTTTCCAATTCAAGGACAGACTAGACTACCCAGGTGCCTAACCCAGCTCCGTCACTTAGTACCTATGACTTTGGGCAAGTGACTTGATCTCTCTGTTCCTTGGTTTTTTCATCTAAACTGGAGATAGTAGTAGTAGTACCCACCTCATACAGTTATTATGAGGATTAAGTGAATTAATATATGTAAAGCACTTAGAACAATGCCTGTTAGACAATAATCACCTAATAACTGTTGGCTCCTGCTAGATGATTGTGAGACTCTACATCTGGCACATAGGTGCTCAAGGAATTGTAGCTAATAGATAGTGATTCCTATTCATTACAGGAACATAGAGAATAAAGTGTAGTCATTTCTGTAAAATGCTTGAGAAATTAATATCCTAAGTTTGGAAGAAGTGGGGAGCATTGGGCGAGAAAATCTGGGACATGACAAAAAGCAAGGAAATGAAATTAGAGGTTGAAAGTATTTGATGTTCTGTGTCAAATCCTTGCCATAGGTATAAAGTTGTGAGAAAAATATGTTTTAAAGGAAAAAGAACCTTCCATTTCAGGAAAGTAGAAAAAAATTAAGTCTGCTATATACTCCTCCAAATACATCAAATATTCCTGCAAAGACTTCACAACACTTTATAAGTAGTCTTTCTGGAATAGCTAGGATATAGATGGTGCTATCCTATTTTATAAACATAAAAAGTTTTGTTTGATGTAAATTAATAGCAAAAGAAGTAACAAGGAAATTGCTGAACTTAATATTTACATTACCCAAATTTTGTATGTACTTAAACATTTGAGAGCACTGAGATGTGCTGGGTACTATCCTAACATGAATAATAAATCGGTAGCTACTCAATGTGATCATTTTTTATAGAGATTCACTTTGTGAGCTCTGGAGAGTCTCATGGATAAGAGTTCCAATAAACTAGGGGCTGGCCCGGTGGTGCAGCAGTTAAGTGCGCATGCTCCACTTCTCAGTGGCCCGGGGTTCACGGGTTGGGATCCCAGATGCGGACATGGCACCGCTTGGCACGCCATGCTGTGGTAGGCATCCCACATATAAAGTAGAGGAAGATGGGCACAGATGTTAGCTCAGGGCCCGTCTTCCTCAGCAAAAAGAGGAGGATTGGCAGCAGTTAGCTCAGGGCTAATTTTCCTCAAAAAAAAATAAATAAAGAGCACCAATAAACTAGATTACTGGTACCGCGCATAAATACAAAGAAACAGCCTGTTAGTTTTATGTCAGCATGTTAAGCTATTGGCAACTATTGAAAATACTAAATATTAAAGTAGAAGAAAATATCAAATTAGTGATTTACTCTGCCACTAGCCAGCTAACTGGCTTTGGGCTAGTCAATTTCTCTAAGCCACAGTTTCTTACCTATATTCTTATCTATGAAGGAGTTAAATAAACATATCCCTTTAATTTTTGTGTAGAAATAAATTTGCCCATCAGACTTCTAAAACTACCTTAATGGTCAAACGTTTTGACAAACTGGGAAATTACATTTTATGATCTTAAAGATAAAAGATAACTTGAATAAATGTATTCATATATCTGACACAAAATATTTGATATATCTGAGGAATGGCTGAAGATGCTTATTTTTCCTCGCTGGTTGTACGAAGTAAAAGAATTTTAAGTTGATATATTAAAGTAATATAAGTGACCATTACCAAAATAATTCAAGGTGAAAATCGGTATAATTTACATCTCAGGGATGACAATGATGAACTTGTACCACTGTTTGAATAGTAGATGATCCAAAAAAATCATGGAGGATTCAACTAGAGTTCCAAATCATTTAAACTGAATACTGTTGCTTCAGGTAATAAATCAGAGTGTTAAAAATTCTTTTACATATTGATTCTTTTAAAAACGTTTCTATTTTGCCTTTGAAAATTTAAGCACAAAAACAGTACAGAAAATTTAACACCACCCAAGTCAACAAATGTTAACATGTGTTTTAAATTTTGCTTAGTGTATTTTCTTATGTCAAAAATGTTTAATTTGATGTAGTTATTTTAGCTATGTATTCCAGATATGTTTTCTTGATTCTTTCAGCTATTCATTTGTTAAGAAAAACAATGGGTTTTTTTTACGTTTGCTTTGAAGTAAAGCTTTAAATGATGGTAAATATTAAGAATCAACATTTTTTTAACTATAAAACAAAACAAAAAACCTAGAGGAAACTAATAAAATGGTCTGCCTTAAGAGAAACAATATAGGGTAGCAATTAAGAGCTTGACCACCGGAGCCAGACTGAATTTAAATTCCAGTTTCACACTTACGATGTGTCTCTGGTCTACTCAACCTACGTCCCGATTTCCTCACATTGAATAATATATGATTTAAATAGTTAAACCATCTAACTTACATTTAGGACAGCACCTAGTAGGTAGTAAGTGCATACTATTAGTTACTATTAACCCATTAAAAAAAAGAACTACTTCACTTGAAAGAGTTAATTTTCTCCTTGGTTCTATCATAATGGTTCTTCAACCAGAATGCCTAAGGATCAGTTGGTAAGTTTAAAAGGCAGATTCCTGGGCCCCACCTCCAAGACTGACGTAGCGGGCCTGGTGTGGACCCAGGGATCTGTATTTTTAATAGGTACCTCAGATGATGCTGATCCAGACGGTCTATAGAACACACTTTGGGAAACACTACTCTGGGCGCACTGATTTCTGGGTTTCTCTTGGCTAATAACAGACATACGAATGACATTAATTACAAAAATGAAATATGATGTGGTGTTACCACGGGACTACAAAACCTCGAGGGTG